GCCCCGTAGCCGCCCCACAGGCGCGCTGCCAGGCCTCCTCGCCTCAGCCGTCCTCGAGCGGGGCGCGCAAATCCTTTTCCCGTCCAAAGGCATGCACGGAGTTAAAATTCACCGAGTCGGTAGTTACGTGCCACTTGTAAACGCGAAGACTCTGCCAAGTGCGATGCCCGTGACATCAGGATGCATCCGTCTAATTAAAGCCGCTGATATCCCAAAGCGACAGAGCGGGGCGCGTACGTGCGCATCCGCGAGGCGACGCGGAGCACCATGGCCGAGGCACCGGGGAGCCCTTCGCCACTGCCCGCGGGAAGGAAAAAAAAAAGCATATCTATCGAGGAGAAAATTGACATCATCAGCGCGGTGGAGAGTGGCAAGAGAAAGGCAGACGTGGCAGCAAAGTACGGCATAAAGAAGAACTCGTTGTCTTCAATTATGAAGAATAAAGAGAAAGTTTTGGAAGCCTTTGAATCTTTGGGATTTGATCCTAAAAGGAAAAGACTGCGGACTGCTTTTTACACCGATCTGGAGGAGGCATTAATGAAGTGGTACAGAATCGCTCAGTGCTTGAATGTGCCGGTAAATGGTCCTATGTTGCGCCTCAAAGCGAACGATTTTGCCCAGAAGCTTGGCCATGGTGATTTTAAGTGCAGCAACGGCTGGCTTGACCGTTTCAAGTCAAGGTATGGGTTAGTATTCAGAGCTCAGCCGGTAGGAGCAGCTGCAACTGCTACGGTGGACGCTTTGACTCTTTGGTACCAAAATGTTCTTCCTTACTATTTGAATGACTATCAGCCAAAAAACGTGTTTAATGTAAAGGAGACTGGGCTGTTGTATCAGATGCTACCTAATAATACATTTTCATTTAAAGGGGAAACGTGTTCTGTTGGTAAGCTAAGCCAAGAGAGAATAACTGTTGTGGTTGGCACGAATATGGATGGCTCCGAGAAGCTTCCTTTGCTTGTTATCGGAAAAAACAGAAGTCCGTGCAGTTTCAAAGATGTGAAGTCGCTACCGGTGGATTATGAAGCAAATGGTAGGGCCTGGATGACTTCAGAAGTGTTTGAACAGTGGATGCATAAACTTGATGAGAGATTTCAAGCACAGCAGCGACGAGTCGTTATTTTTGTTGATCCTCTCCCAGCGCACTCAGAGGTAAAGCATCTGAAGGCTATTGATTTAGTGTTCTTTCCTCCAGACGCTTCTTCATGTATAGCTATGAAACAAGGGGTTATCAGAAGCTTGAAAGTTAAATACAGGCACTGTCTTTTCAAGAGATTTGTTGACTGTGTAATAGGAAGTAAAGAGTTTATGCTGACTCTTCTTGATGCGGTTGAGATGTTGCACCTGTGTTGGAGTCAAGTCACACCAGAGACTATTGTTAAAAGTTACAGTGAAGCAGGATTCAAGATAGAAACTGAGAAAAATGGTAATAATGACACAGAGGTTGAAAGTGATTTTGACTTGATTGCACATGCACTGGCAGCAGGAGTAGAGTTTCCAGCAGGTTTATCTTTGGAGGAATATGCAGTTCTGGATGATGGTCTGGCAATTTGTGAAATGCCTGCAAATAATGAAAGGATGTTTCAAAGTGCCAAAAAAAGCACTTCAGATCAAGCTGGGACATCTGTTGATGATGAAGGTGGTGATGAAGGTGATGGATCTCTGGCAGCCGAACAGCCTTTGCCATCAAAAAATGAGGCTCTGAGCGCTTTAGATACCCTTCGAAGGTTTCTCAGGAGTCAAGATGCGAATGATTCTCTTCGTAATTCCCTTGCTGACCTGGAGGATTTTATTCAACATGTAGAATGTAAATAAATATTGTTAACAAAACATGTAATGGAAAAAAGGAATTATTTAAGCAAACACAAATACGGCAGCTTATAAAAAGTGTTGCTGCAAAGTTCTCTAGTGTATCTTGCTTGGGTGCCTAGCTGTACATAATAATTGACATTTGAAATTACAAAAAAAGGCTGTGAACTGAAGCCTTCCAAAAATTAGGAGGAAAGAAAATAGACTTTCAGGTGGAGAGAGGAAATAACTTGAACGTTTAATATGATAACTGTAGTAGGTACAACAGACACCAAAATGACTCTTACAAGTTCTTCTGTGCACTCTGGCTGAGCTAGTGCCCACTTGAAATTCTGTGTCCATGAAGAGGTTAGCACTTCTTCACGTGGATACTTGCACTAGTATCTTTGGTATTATTTACAGTATAACAGTAAATATTTATGAGCTTGATGCTTTTGATACTTACACAAAAAATTGAATAACACAGAAAATTTACACCTGAGTCCTGAAAGCTAAGGGCTTTTTTTAAGAAGAATTTTCTTGTACTTGTTCAACAATCCCAGCTATAGGTTATTCTTGAGTGATGAACAGAGGAAGTTAGCAGCTTTGAATGTGTTTTATTTTCTTAAAGCTGCTCTTGTGTGGATATACATAAGTGGCATAATCATTTATCAAAGAATCAAAAGACAAGCAAGACTTTATTTGTTCTTCGAAGGGTTATTTTCCCAAAAGGGATCAAAAAGGAAGGTCACGCTTCTCCATTTCAGCCTTTTTGACATTTGGATTTCTTTAGGCTCTTCTGTACAACTCTATATATTTCTGCAGTAAATAGGAACAAATATTAGATTATGCAATATCTGCACTTGACAACTTATTAAGGTCTTGCTGTATTTACTATAGCTAGTAATAAACAAAGTACTTAAACCTGTCTTCATTCTTGTGCAGTGCTGTATAGCATGAAGACTTTGCTGCAGAATTCTATGCACCAATGCAGTTTACTATTAGAAACACTTTTAACAGAGGGGTTTTTTTATTAATGCCTTTTGAAATGAAGTAAATCATAGTACATTCGCAAGTCATCAAGTATGTGTTTCAATCAATGTACCATAGCCAAAAATCTGAATGCATATGAGGCCTACTGTTAGTGATCTCTTTCAAAACCTTATACATTTTAGCCTCTTTTAAATATTTTCCATATCTACCAATTTTAGCTTTTCGAAAGTTAGAGATGTTCATTTTTCTAATTTAGAGGAAGAATAAGATGTTTTACAGAAGCCCTTTAGGAAATCCGTGTAATAAAAGTATCCATTATGGGGCTAGGCCATGAGAAGCAATCTCTTGCCTATTTGAATGTTTAGTTTTCTATAAATGGCTTGGCTATAGCTTTGGTTACTTTCCTGGTAGAGGACAGTTTATCAATTTGCTTTTCAGAAAACATTTTATCAAAATACTGTAAGACAGTGAAAATACAAATTTCTATGTGAGAAAATACCTATGGCTAAAGTGTATGAATGTTTTACTAGAATCTCTAAAAAAATCATATTGTGGTTTCCTGTTATAAAACATCTAATGTGAATTCCATCCAGAACATACTCTGATGAGATGCCTCTTTTGAAATTTAAATAAATAAAGCCCTACCCAGAGATTTATAGATTCTGTGAAAGAGGTATCCCTCTCCATTAGCTGACTATTGTATGAAAATACAGATACAAACTTTTTTAAATTCAGAAGCTGTGTCAGAAAACAATCACTAAATGTCACTTGCTTAAATAATGTAGATCAAGCTTTTGAAAAGTTTGTTTGTTTGTTTGTTTTTGGCTAAACTTATTTTAAGTTTGTATAAATCCCATAGAACCCTATGGCTAATTTTCCCCACTAATCTTACGATTCAAAGCCCATATTTTTCTAACCAGTGGTTTCTCTTGCTAAAGGTAAATTTAGGGAAAAGTAAAATAGTGTGTTCCTATTTCTATTATCCATATAGCAAATTCCTTTATGCCTTAAGATTGCACTCTAAGTGGACCTGATCAGCCTGGGATCCCAAGAAGGAGACACTGGATTTCCCTCTAAGGGAATTCGGAGCGTGATGTGCTGATCTCCTGAGAGAGGCTTGCCTAAGTGAGCAGCAAAACTGAGTTAAGCAAGGGTTTAATCTGCAAGATCTGTAGTCTCTGCATGGTGCAGCTTCCAAGACCAGGAGATCTGATATAACCTAGTGAGCTGATGAGTAAGGAATTGAATTCCTGGATATTTACTGAGTGCTGTAATACTCACTCGCTCGTGGAAATAAAAGGAAGAATTCACCTGGACTTTGCAGGTGAATTGTGGAATTTGCTTTATAAAACAAACAAACAAGCTGGCAAGAGAATCCTTGTCTTTTACGGAAGATATTACTTTTTTTCTTGCCTCCTATTTCCTTCTGAAAAGGCAAGCTAAAATGCACTCACTAAAATTATTTTTTTTACGCCAGCCACTTTGTATGCTAATACTAAAACTTTCAAAATTATTTAGGAGCCCAAATATTTCTTCTCACTTGGATTTTGTTTACATTTATTGTTGAATACAGAATTGGAGAACCATCCTTGAAGCTTGATGCTACTTCAGGTGTCCGTCCCCAGGCGAAACGGACACTCCTGAGATCCCAAGTGCTAACAGTGAAAAAGAAGGTGGTCTTGTCAGTAATTTTAGTCTGCATACACAGTCTGAGCTAGAGATTGTTTTATATTGTTTAGGTAAACCTTCAAGACATACAGTTCTTATAGTCTGTGGTGGCATTTATTAGACTGAGGAGGAGGAACATTGCTTTATACTGCACCATACTTAAAATAAGAATCTTTTCTACAAAAGGCAGGTTAGTAGGGTGGTCATTTTCTTTAATACTTCAGATGTTATTTTGGACAACTTTGTGTGTTTTTCCTGTGTGCTTTTCTACTTTCTCCTATAGTTAGGTAAGAATTATGTACTTTAGCTTCAAGTCAGTGAGGTCACTTTCTGTACCCCAAAGTTACTTCTGGAAGTACGAACTGAAAATATGAAGCCTTAAGAATAAAAGTAATTTCCAAACAAGGCCAAAAAGGAAAAAAAGAAAAGTGTGCTTGATATAATCAAAAACAACCTTAGAGAGTCATTCTTTAAACTAGTAATACATGAAATTAAGTATTCAAAATAGCATCTGCATTTGAAAATGTTATTAAAATTACATTGTGATTTGATTTTTGTCTTACAGTTGTGTATGCCTCTGGATACCTTTCAGATCTATAAAACTACATCTCCTTTTAAAATCAGTGCTCAAAGGAAGATTATTCACCTCAAAAGAGTAATAGGAAATTACTTTATCAACTTTTTGTGCATTTAAGCGAAAACAGAAGAAAGGGGGCAGTTAATGATTTATAACACAGCCATCCACATGTTCCTGCATACCCAAGATCTGTGACATTTTGATAGCTAAGTCATTTGGGGGAAGTAAATAAGTAGGCATTTTTTTCCTTAGTTATTAGGTAAAACTTGAGAATCATATTCGCAAATGTGCAGAGTCTTTAGTTATTTTTAATTAAAAAAACGCCATACTACTTTGTTAGCTAGTATACTTACTGTAGAAAATATCAGTTGTATATAAGTATTAATTTTAGTTAATTTCAGATCATTTTCCTTTATTTTCTCTACAGCCCTGGAAAGTATGTTGGTTCAAGCAGCCAACCAATTTTTTAATGAACAGTAAGTACAAATTTAGTCAAATTTAACTATAAGGTTTTTATAAATGTAATTTAAGCAGTAACATTAAATAAATACAATAATAATAATGATAGAAGTAAATATGGGCCTACTCAACAATTAAATGAAAAGTATGTGATGATGGGGCAACGATGACATACAATTATGGTTTGACATTATTTTCTTCTATTAATATAAAAAAAAAAAATCTCTTACCTGTTATTTGTAGGAGGCAATTGTTAAAGGAGCACTTTGCAAATTTTTCACTAGGAATTGAATAATTGTATCACAGGAGAAGATTTTTTATATTTAAACAAGAAATATATTTGTATCTAGATATTTTAATATGTCTGTTTTGGGGTTTTCTTTCCTGAAAATCTTATTCAAAATCAGTCGATTCTATATCAGTTCATAGGCAAACAAATCTGTTCTGTTTGGAAATGTTGCAGTGGGATGAGTGACAGCGTACTTTTTGTTGATATGCTCATGAACAACAGAAAAATCTTTGCAACAAATGAAAAGATAACAATTTAATATTTGACAGCCAGTTTTTACACACAGCTTTTGCATTGCTAAATCTATGTTGTATAGAGATGTGATTACTTTTATACTAATATAATTACACTGTGATATAACCACATAATTTTTATATGACATTACTAATTCTAATATAGCTCATTGCCCTTCTTACTCGTACAGTTACTCCATTTGAGATATATTTTCTCTCTTAAAACAGTAGATGTTTTAACTGTGTCATTCTAGTTAAAATCATACAACTTTGGAGTTGAGGCAGAGTTTTAAAGCAAGTAGTGTGTGGCTAGCTTTTCCATAACTGTGTCACCACTGCTCCCCGAGTATAACAGAGAATATAAGTTACAAATTACCGTGATCAGTAAAGTGAACAAATACCACACTGAATTCTCAGATCTGCTGAGTGAGAAAATGCCATATTTATAACAATTTAAAAAACATATGACTGTCTTTTAGTTTGACAGTATTTCAGCTGAAGGCCATGTCTTCCTAAGCTTTCGTGCCATCCTTCCTCCTGCTCAACTTTTCAGCTTCATGTTTGAATAATACTGAGGGGAAACAACGAAGTGGCTGTACATATTGCTGTATATCTGTGCAAATTGTCAGCCTGTGCACAAGTCAACAGGCGCAGGATCAGGGAGGTAAGCTTCACGATTGCTTTGCATCCTCCACTTTTCCGGCGTTTGCCTTGCTTTGTGCGCCTATTTGAGCATTCGGTTATAACCATAACCCCGCTGTCATGATTCTGAGCAAATGGTATTTGGATGGGATAGTACCTCAAGCGG